GGAAGGGAAGGGAAGGGAAGGGAAGGGAAGGGAAAACATTTCTGACTCTACTACTTCCAGCAACTGAGTTAACTAAGAGTCATTGTCAAGTCCAAAAATATTTTTCCCTAACCAGAGTTCACAACTTTGGTGGCACTTTTCTCTACCTTTTCTGGTCAACAGAAGCTTCGGGCTTTGGGACATAATGGGAGACTACTTGGCCAAATGAAATACATTCCCACTTGCACAGAGCAAGCAAGGCCAAGGGGAAGAGTTAAACTATACATTACAGGTGGGGTCAGGGAAGAACACTACTCATCGTCCCTCCAGTGGCCACTGAGACAGAGATGGCACAGATCAAACTTGGCCAAAGCAGAGTAATTCAATCAGGACAGAGTAGAACTTTACACACATGTGTTCCCCACACATAACAATGACCAGTGTTTTCTATTTATTTAGTTAGTTTTTGAGAGCAAGAAAGGGGCAGAGAGAGGAGACACAGAATCCCAAGCAGACTCCACGCTATCAGTGCAGAGCCTGACGTGGGGCTCAGTCCCACAAACTGGAAGATCAAGACTTGAGCCCAGATCAAGAGTTGGACGCTTAACTGACTGAGCCACCCACACACCCATTTTCTTTCTTTTAAACAAAAGAACCTTTACTGATATGTTTATAATAGAAACACTGGATGCAGGCACCTCCTTGAACGTGAGGCAGCAGGACCAGAAGGGGATGTCCTCCACCCAAGTGAAAGCCAGAAGGAGCCTCCCTGGGCCATTTAACCCAGGGCCCATCTGATGACTGGTAAGAACGAAGCAGTGATGTGGCATAACAGAAAAGAGCCTGAGTTCTCAAGCCGGAAACTCTGAGGACGAGTACTTGCCTTTGAGCCCTGACTTATTAGCTGAGTGACCTCCCTAAGTTACTTAACCACCCCAGCTACGAAAAGGGGATAACTACCCCCGCGTGGCCCGAACCAGAAGGTTGTAGTGAGGAAAAAACATCTACAACAATACTGAATGTGAACGCTTTATAAACTGGAAGAGTACCCCACAAGTACGAGCTATCGTGAAGTCTTTTACGATTCCCATTCACAGGACAAAAGGTCACCTTCCAGAAGGCAGGCAGCAATCCAGACTGTCCTCTCAGTTACATCCTACCTTCTGAGATAGAGCTAAGAAATGGCCTCTAAAGCTCACACTGATGCTCTTCCACACTTCAGACCCAGACCATTAAGTTGGCAGCTTGTGAGAAGGCTCTCCCTTGTCTAGTGCCGTGTGCTCCCCCCATCTGTGGACCAGGTGATGCCACCGGTGACCAGGGAGAAGAGAGTATGTCCATGAGCTTCAACAGCGAGATAAAAGCTCTTGTTCTAAAACCTAACTTGTTTCAGTCGAGACTGCTTATCTACCGTACACTGTCTACTCAGGTTCTGTGGTTTAGCCTGCCTACTAGGACACAAGAATCCACCTGGCATGACGGGGAAGGGGGGGGGGGGGGGGGGGAGCCTGGCTCCTCAGTGCCATCAAGGAAGAGAACTGTTGGTTACTGGGTTTAGAGTTTCAGTTTTTCAAGATGAAAACGTTTTGGAGATCTGTTATGCAACAATGTGAATATTCTTTTTTTTTTTTTTGTTAAGTTTGTTTATTTATTTTGAGAGAGAGAGAGCGAGCACGTGCCCATGAGCAGGGAAGGGGCAGAGAGAGGGAGAGACAGTCCCAAGCAGGCTCCACACAGTCAGCACGGAGCCCAACGTGAGGCCTGATCCCAGGAACCGCGAGACCGTGACCGGAGCTGAGATCAAGAGTCAGATGCTTAACCAACTGAGCCCCACGAGTGCCCCAACGGTGTGAATACTCTTACTGATACTGAGCTCTACACTAAAAACTAATGAAAACGTTTCTTAAAAAGAAGAGGACAAAGAAGGAGGAGGAGCGCTGACATGGCAGGCAGGGCTGGGGATGGAAGGTCTCAGCGCCGGTGACATTTCCGGGCCAGTTATTTAACCTGTCGCCCCAGGTACAAAAACGGGGAACGGACATACTCATTGCCCCGATGGAGCGGCGATGAGGCATAACGGTGGCCCTGCAGCTTCGGAGGCAGACCGCACAGAACCGTGAAAATTTCAACTTCTCTTACTTGAGAAAGCCACAGGACTTCAACATGTCTGGCTCGAGCGCACACGAGGCCAACTGACACTCGCTGAGTCACCGTGCCGGGCACGTTACACGTGTTAATTCCCGAATCCTTACGCCGCCACCGTGGGGTCGCAGTGTTACCTCCAACGTACAGATGAAGAAGCAGAGGCAGAGGTTAAGTCACTGGCCCAAGGTTATTGTGTCGGTAAGCTGTGCGGCCAGAATCCGAACCCAGAGCTCGTCTGCCGGAGAGTAGTGCAGAGGAGTCCTAAGGCCTGCCACCCCGCCTCGCTCACATCTTATGAGCCAGAAGACCTTAACCTTCTTGGAGGCATTTTGGCACATTCACTGCCGTGTCCCAAGGGCCAGCACTGTTGACACATAGATCATATCGTATCTGCGGCACAAATGAGCCGTTAACCCTATGGGGTGGGGGGGGCGGATTTCTGGTTTTTTGAGGTGGTGAAGGCAATCTGTAACCCAACTCACAGGGAAAACAGATGGACACAGAGACTCAGTAATGATTTCTCTTTCAGATCCGCTACCCTTCCCGGCGCAGGCAGGCTCCCACGGGCATCAACCCTCCCCTGGCCCTCCCCTGCCGAAGGCGAGTCTGCAGTCAACCTAAGTGGCCGAGGAGAACCGAAAGCCGTTACATAAGGCTCCCCGCTCCCCCCGCCCCCTTTCCCACTCTATGGAAAACAGCACCCTCGCCCAGCCGGCAAGCCTTATACCCCAGTTATCCTTCGTTTTTCTCTCTCTGCCTCCAGCCTCAGCCAACTGGCCACCGAGCCCCGCTGCCGCGCACACTATGGAAGTGCAGCTGCCCCACCACCCCAGTCGCTCAGGGTCGTCCGGCCGGACTTGCTGCCTCCGCTCTCTCATCAGCAGCTTGTTCTCCACACGGCCACCGCCACAATCCCTCTTCTGTGCCATTCCCCTGCTTTCCAGAGCTGTGACCGTCCCCCTCCTATCGGATGTCACAATCTCTTCGCCAGGGGGGTCAGTCTCCTTGCAGACTCGGCCCGGCCTCAATTCCTGCCACTCGCCTCACAGGCGTGCTGTGCCCGCCACAGCAGACTCAAGTTTCCAGACTACTGTTCCCACCGCCATATTTGCCCGTTCCTGGCCATCTGCATGGCAAGCTTCTATTTCTCATTTGAGGCGGACCTCAAACGGCCCTTTTCTATAGCCACCTATGACCCCCACCACCACCTCCCTCCTCAGGCAGAATTACGTCCTCGTCCCCATCTCTAAGCTCTTTATGTGACCCCCTGGCACAGAGTTGCTCCCACTGGAATTACTTTCCGTTCATCTCCACATCAGACCAAGTCCTTCGATGAACCGTATCGTTCACCTTTATCCCAGAGCCTGCCGGAACATGCCAGGGCCATAGAAGGCCCTCTGGAAAAGTTGCCGAACTAAATATAATCACTAGGTTATAGAGGGACTTCTTGTTAACACTGGTATCAGGAGTAAACAGAGCTAACCTACCACCCACTAAGCACCATTCCAAGTGCTGTGTGTGCACAGTCTCACTGGATTCTCAAAATGACTGCACAAAGTAGGTACTGTTCTCTCCATTATAAATGAGGAGATGGGAGCTTGGAAAAGTCTAGTGATTTGCCCTAAGTCCCACCGCTATTAGCACCAGAGCCAGGATTTGAACCCAGACACGGTCCCTTGAAGTCCACACACACTATGCTTGCTTTGTAGGCCGTGTTGTAACAGAATATAGTCATGTCTGGGGAATGTGATCTTGACCCATAAGGTAACGCAATCCACTGAGAGTGAGCCAGCCTGGAACTGAGCTCTAATACTTTTAACCAGGATCTTCTGTAACATTTTCAGAAGTAAAACGTTCCAGGAAATAAAATGGTGATAATAATTTTATTCTGACGGGCCTTGAAACGCAAGGCCTATTTTTTCTCAATAAGGAAACCTACTTCTATTAATGTCTCTAATTCCTCCATTTACTTCTAATGACTGAAAGACTATGGTCACTGAAAAGAAACTGTCCCCTCTCCTGGCCCCCTGCATCAAAAAGAAAAAAGAAAAAGAAAGAAACCTATAGGATTAAGTGTCTACCTACCTGAGACTGCTTACTGCATCTGTGAGGTAGGGATGGGAAAGAGCAGGAGTGTCTATGAAGACACCTTTGAACTCTTTCCCTTGGAATTAGGAGGAGAGGGGAAAGGAGGGGATCCTAAATAATCCCCCCCAATTTGCTGTGGAGGAAGACCAGGCCCTTTTCCAGCTGCCTCTCCCGGGCCTCAGGATCCTCTAGCTTCTGGTTTTTCCGGAACTCACGGCGGATGGAGGCAAGATAGAAGTCTCGATCAGTGTAGCGAAGCTCTCGACCCTGGCGCAGCAGGGCCCGGTACAGACTGAGCACCGCCTCTCGGCTCCATGGGGCCATGGGGGACTGGCGGGGGCTGGGCGTCAAGCTATAAACGGAAAGGAAAAAACAGAAGCCTAGAATCAGAATTAACGATAGAAGGGTCTATATAGAGACTATCTAAAATGCAGGGGTTCTTAATCTGGGTCTGAGAGATCCCAAGGTCACATTATGACTTAGTGGCAGGGCTAGAAGTAGACCCCAGCCTCCCAGTGTCCTCTCTGGGAAAGTACAGGTTATGCTGAAGGGCCAGGGCTTGAATCCTGGCTCTGCCGTTTACCGGCCATATGATTCTGGGCAACGTACTTAACTCTTCTGAGCATCAGGTTCCTCGGTGGTAAAAAAAAAAAAAAAAAAAAAAAAAATGCGGATGACATTATATGTTAAAGAGTACCTACCACATGGGGTTATTTTGAGAACTGCATGAGATAATGCACATATAGCATCTCTAATAGAATTCCACTACGAGGGGTGGTCTAGAGTGGTTGAAGGCAAGGACTCTCAGCCACACTTGAATCCTGGCACCACCGCTTATGCAGTGATTACCCTGGCAAGTTTCTTAACCTCTCTGCGCTAACCTCAGTTCTCCACTTGTACAATGAGGAGCAAGACTGTATTCTGCCCATTCGGTTGGTACGAGGATTAAATGACTTAATGTATGTAAATGGGTCTAGAATAGTGCTTGGCACCTACAAAGAAGCACGCTATCACGGCCGGCTATTACTAGTGGCCCCCAGCCCAATAAATAGTAGATTTAGTTTTGCGTGAACCGCCACCATCTGCCTTCAGTAACAATGAACCTTTACACAAATACTGAGTGTCATTTATAAAATGCTTTGTCATCCATTACATTTAAATGAAGAAACCTAGGAGGTGATCAGGGGTCCTAACGTTGACAGTGAACACTTACGGAGGGTTTACTATGTATCAGGCATGTTTCAGGCACATTCCACAGAATAACGCGTCTCATTCTGTCAACAACCCCAGCGTCCTCATCCCCATTTTAAGTGGGGGAAACTGAAGCTCCCACAGGGAAGTAACTTGCCCACAGGCACATAGCTGGAAAGGGGGGCTGCATTCCTGCCCCCAACTCTGCCTGCCTCTGTAAGGACAATTACCATTCGCTGGGGCCTTACCACGTAGGACAGGGGTGCGCTACAAACTTTCCCAGCACAGCACTTGGCACATATAAGGGCCTCAAAAAATAAGTTGGATGAAAGAAGCAAAGTCCCTATGTGGGAGAAATGATCACCCCTATTTCAAAAATAAAGAAATGAGATCGAATGGGGGAGGTACTTGGTAAAAAGATCTGAACTTTGGGCCCGAAGTCAGTTAGCCATCAGCGTCCGGCCTCACCAACTTTCTGCGCGAGCTCGAGCAAAGCCACTGTCCCTGTCCTTTTTTCCTCAATTGTAGAAGAGCTCCCCTCGGCCCCAAGGGCCTCCCGGAATAGGAGAGATGAACCCAGAAAATCAACAGGAAAAGTGCTTTATGAGGTTGGAGGCGATTGTCACGCGAGGGCTGTTACAAGGTCGATCGGCGATTGGGCGACTGAGCCCTGGCCGGTCCCCAGTTCCTGCCTCGACCCTAGGGGCCGGGCCGAGGCGGGATGGGGAGGGCCCGGGCTGGGGCAGGCCGGCTCGGGGGGGCCCCGGGAGGCCTCCGGAGACTGGGGTGCGGCCACCGAGCGGCCTCCCGGGAGGAAACTAGAGCGGTCTGGGCGAGACCCCCGCTGGCCGGGTTGGGGTGGGGGGCGCCAGCGCGGCCCTGCGCAGAGGCTCGGCGAGCCCCGGGCCCCGGCTCCTCCCCGCACTCACCCGCGGACTGCGCGCGCTACCACTCCTCGCGATTCGCCTCTCGCCCGGTACCTTTCCCGGGGTCACCCACCAACATGGCCCCTTCACTTCCGGGACACGACCTTGCGCACGGAGCTGAGGGGAGGGACTGAAGGGAGCGTGGGGGCGGGCGGAGGCGGAAGGACTTCCGTTCTCCGCGGCCGAGGCCTCTCTCGGGGCGGGGCCAGGAGCCTCGTCGGGCCACGCCCCCTCAGGCGGTCTCGGTCCCGCCTCCGTGCGTGACGTCCCCCAGGGACCGGTCCGCCGAGGCCGTTCGGGCCCCGCCCACCCGGAGAGCGACCGCGCCGTGGGCGGGAGTGGGGCGGCGGACTGGCACCCGGGTGGCCTCGCCGTCCAGCGACCTGGCTGCGTCGGGCCGACCCCCACCCGCTGCCAGCCTCGTAACCTGTCAGGCGGTCAGGTCAGGCCCCAGCACCGACTGCCGATCTCGGGCTGGGGCCGTGGGGACACCTGGGGAAGTCTGACACTACTACTATTCTCTGTCATGGCTGTCAAAGCTCCTCAAGTCCCATTTTTCTCAGATCGCGTTCTTTTCACCCCTCGGGGCTCTTCCTGCTCCGCGGGCCCTTCGGCTCGCGGCAAACTCCTACCCTTGAAGGTCCACCGCAGTTGTTCCCTCCGGACGTCTTTTCCAGCACCTTCCTCCTCGGGCGTCCAGCACAGGCGCCTCCTTTGGGCCGCACAGAAATGTCTGCACACTGCTGTTGGGGCTCCTAACCCTTTCAACAACAAATCGTATTTACTGGCACCAGTTATTTGCCGGGCACTGCTGTTTAATGTACCCGTTTGCTTCTCTGTCTCTCACCAGATCTGGGGGCGCGACCCACACCTTCTGGAATCCGTGAGGCCCCTGCCCGCAGCGTGTCCAGGTGCCAAGCGAAGCCAAGGAGCGTTGGGAGTCAGGCCCCTGGGGACCCCCAGTTCCAGTTGCACCACTGAAGGACTTCTGCCCTCTGGCAAGTTTCCTAACCTCCGCCTGGGGCTGTTGTGGGGACTAACGGGCATCCAGCAGGAGGGGATGGGTGTTGAGGAGCAGTTACCATCCACTCATTGATTCACGCATCCAGTCCTCCTCAGGGGTCTCTAACGTGCAGGGCACTGCCACCGGTGTTGCAGGGAACAGAAGGATCAAGTTGGGTCATCTAGTGGGGGCTGACGCAGGTGGTGAGGCGAGCTGGGAGCCCTCCTGCAGGTGGGAGGATGGAGGGAAGGGAGTGTGGTGGGAGGGAGGGCGTTGCTCTTTTACACGGAGTGGGCGACATGCGGACCTTCTTTTTGGTGCCTGTGGACACCATTCCGTGCCACCTTCTCGGCCTTCGACGCCTTTGCTTCGGCTTCGGCTTTAGGAGGAGCCGGGGTTTTCCTCTTCCGTTTCTGCTCCGTCTTCGTGAAAAGGGTCCCTCCCTGAATTCCATTGTCGCAGGGTCGGTCTGGCTTGAGCAGAACCGAATGCACCAAGCGCTAAAGCAGGGAGGTTGGTTGAGGAAGCTGTTGCAGGACCCCAGGGGAGACAGGGGTTCAAACCAGGGGAGGCGGCAGTGGAGGGAGGAAGTGGTCAGATCCTGGAAGTCTTTGGAGCTAGAGCCACTGCTCACATAGGGTGTGAGAAAGAAGGGTCACCGTGGCTTCCGGCTGCTGCCTGAGCAACTACCCTGCTGCCTCCCTGCTCCAGTTCAGTTAGGAGCATGTTCCGCGTGTTCCAGAAGAAGGCTGTTTTCCAGAGGCCTAAGGTCTCCACTCAGATGAGGGGAGACTTCCCTGTGATATGGGGAGCCCCGCAGCACTGAGGGATGGTGAGCCCTAGGGCTTCTGGGAAAGGGAGGGCCCAGTTGGGGGCCTCAAGGAGGGAGGCTTAAGACTTAGGACCAATGGTGGTGTGGAGCCTGGGCTCTTAGGCTGGGGCTGGATCCCCCAGGGCTGGAGGAAGAAACTCAGCAATTCTCTCCCTCAAGCTCCAGTGCAGCGGCCCCAGCACTTACAGCCGCCTTTATGAAGCGCCTCTGGTGTGCCAGCCATTTGGACTGACTACTTTACAAACATTGTATTATGTCCAGGCCCAGCGGCCCTGCTTGGTAGGCATCGTTATCCCCATCTTACAGATGAGAAATCCAACACTGAGAGAGGTTTGCTAATTTCTCTGATACTGAGCCAGGCAGCTGGGAAGCTCGCGGTGGAACGCATATCTGTCTTACACCAAAACGTGTGTTCTTTCCACTCTTCCAGGCTGCCCTACTTTGCTCGATAAAGAAATAATTTTGTGACCCAAATAAATCTATTTGGTGACATTTCCAGCTGGAAGACTAGGTGACCTTTCGTATCCCTCCTGACCCTCCTGCTCTATAGAATATTATTTTTAGGACGGAAGGGGGGAGGCCCCCGGGGGGCCTGCCTTTCAGATCAGCTTCCCCAGACTCTTCTGGGTCTTTTCTTTACTTCCAGACTCAGAGCACTCATTCCTGTTCCCAGTGCTCCCATGACAATGGTGGGGGAGTGGGGGTTGGAGAAGCGGGGCAGGCACACATCCATGGTTCCTTTGTAGGTCTGAGACCCCTGGCAAGGAGCACTGCCCCAAATGTCAGGGCTCTGCCGGGTGGATGGGACAAAGGGTCCTCTGGGATCTCTAAGATATTGCAGCTTTGACCTAACTCCCAGTCACACATCTGGATGTTGGCAAATGGTGTGTTATGGGGTCACGGATGGAGGGCAAGAGGGAAGCCCTTGTTCATCAGAGCCGTGACTCACACCAATAGTAGACATTTCATTGCGGAGTGAATGGATGAAGGGATATTTTCCAGAAAGGTAGAGGGACTGGGAGAGAGAGACCATTTCCCCAAGTCAGGTCAGTCAAGTCTAGTTGCCTTTGAAAGGGGCAGTGGGGCGGCGACGGGCATGGGGCAAGTGATTGAAGCTTTGCGTGTCTTGCTTTCCCCATCTGTGAGCTGGAGATAGAGATAAAG